TCGTGAAATATATTGACCTGTTCCGTTTTGTTTGTTTTAAAATTAATCAAGTTTATTTGTAAACACTAGATCCAGCGGGAGGGGGGGGGGGGGGTTAATATGATGTACATTTTGTTCCCATAATAACGGGAGACGGTTAATCCCATGAATACAAGAAAGAGGGTGGAGGGGAGCCAATAACAAATACCAAATAAATAGCAACAAACGAACAAACAATAAATGAATCATAAAAAAATTTCGAAATCGGTGAGATGGCCTCGGACCTCCAATTATCACCTTATTAATCAATCAATAATGATACCCCCTTCTATCTTTCACTCTATATCACCGATTGCGCTCTTATCCCTCCTTTTCTAATATTCCTCTCTTCCTTCATTCCTTCCTTTCCTTTTTTTATTTGTCCTTTATACTTTTCTATTATCTTTTGTTGTCTTCTACTATTTCTCCCCGTCTATGTCTCTCTCTACAGTTATTTAGGATCTCTTAAGTCTTATGGGGGGGGGGGGCGTCTCGGCCTCCTGAATTCATTTTAACGTTCGTTTCTTTTTAGGTACCTTTTTCCAGTTTCGGAATTATGGACCCTATTTCATTTTCGGATTATGAACCCTATTGCATTTTTCGGAAATACGAACCTTCGGACACCACCACCCCCCCCCCCCCCAGGAACGATAACCCCCGTGGGCTTTAACATCCGAGGACAAATATCCCCCCCCCCCCCGGGAACGAATATCCACGGAGAATTAGCTCCCCTAGGACAAATATGCCCCAAGGACAAATATACGCCCGCCCCCCCCCCCCCCCCGTTCATTGAAGGGGAAGTCCACCCTGATGATGATTTGCATTTTTTTCGGGGGGGGGGGGGCTGAAAATCAAAGGGGGTAATTTTCCGAGGGGGAGGGGATAATTGCCTTGGCCGGGGGTGTTCGTCCTATAACCCTTTTATTTATATCAAGTCTCCTCTTCCTCCCATGTAGATTTCCTCTCCCACGAATCCTTTATTCTTATCCAGTTTCTGATTCTTCCCATCTATTTCCTTGTATACTTTATTCCTTTACAGTCGCCTCTTCGTTCCATATATTTCCTATCTCTGATATCATATAATCTTTAATATCTACATGTATTTCCCTTCCTTTTATCCTTTATTCTTTGATTCGTCATCTGAAGACATCACCCTTCATGGATGTTTACAAGTCCCGTCAAACATTGATTGATTAACAAGTAAATGACATGAGGTCACTGTCCTCCACACCTCTACCTAACCCCGTCTTTCTACTTCCCTCTCTGCCCTCTCCCCCTCTCTCTCTCTATCTCTCTCTCCCTCCTGCACGTGATTACATTTCCCAGACATGTTTTGACAGTTCTTATCTAAGAAATATGACACGCCCCAGCCAGCTGAAACTGAAAGGGCTTGCATAGTCTGCCAATTCAGACGCCATACCATAAATGACAACTGAAAACGAGCAAATAATTATTTGCTTTTAAAAAATAAAGTTGCAAATTATTATTTAGCCAATGAGAAGAGTTAACTTTTCATCTGAAAATCACCATTTAGAGATAGAACGAGATTGTACGAATCGTTGTTGTGGTGGTTTTAAAAATGGAATTATTGTGTCCGAAACTAGACTTAGCTTTTATACCATCGGTGGTTCCAACAACGTGTGTAAGGGAATTAATCTTTCGGATAACCATGGATGTCCCTGGGATAACTTTCATCTGATTTTCGGATTTATAGTTAAACATGGATATTTTAAAAGTGGGACACGTCATAGAATCAGGTAAGTATGCAATCATTGATCAATCTGTAGCTAAACAAATTGCAGCTACGTGATTATGCTTAGTTAAGTCGTTTGTATTTTCAAACCAGAATGAGCAAAGCGATGTGGGAATACTTTATAACTCATGTCCTATGTAGTTATCAAACTTGCGTGCCTCGCGTATCGATGAATGAATTGACCTACATTCATCCCTTTGTTTCATTGTGTTTGGTTACTAGGTTACACGCTGGGGTAGTTTAAGTTTATCAGACCATTATAATGTTCAATGTATTTGTGGCTGCTTTTACCTTTTGAAATAAAGGCTCTTCGTTATTCAAATATTCAACAATTGTTCTGAAATAATGATGGTATGGTGAAATCCTACCCAAACTCGTTTATTCTCATTATCAATGAACATTTTTTCAGCTAATTACAAACGATGCCTAGTTGGCTAACAACCATCATGTGCAGTACGTGCGAACTTGTAGAATCAAGTCAGTCAATCGGCAATTTCCATTCATTACAGATCAAAAAATTGAAATCCCCATAGTACATCTCTCACTCACATTAACACACACATTTTTATTTATGTTTTGAGGATAGACTAAACATACAAGAATCTCGTGTTCTACGAGACTGCCGACTCCCAAATGTGGTACATTACCGCGGGACATTATGGTAGGTGGGAGTACCGCGGTAACCAGTTGGGTGGCGGTACTCAATAAATTACCGTGGTAATTTGCTCCCGCGCGGTACACGGCGGTACGGTGTCTACTTTATTTCGAGCAATACTGTAACTAATGTGCTTAGATTAGCAAGTGTGCGCTTGTAAACAAGTGACGCCTGGCTGGAATGCTCCCCATGGAGAGGAGAATGTGCATACATTGTGTGCGGGTAAGCCTGAATCCGATAACCGGGGTAATAATATATATCGGTAAAGTGCTTTGAGAGGGCCTGCGGTTATGAGAAGCACTATTATATATAAGAACAAGCTATTATTATTATTATAACAGGGTCCAGTTAACTTTCATAAAAAATCAAAAATCCATCTACTACAAATAAACGTCATCACTATTTTAATTCCATAACCTTTTTTTAATTGACAGGTAAAATGAACTCAGAGTCACTTGACATTATTTTCTGACCTCTCTCTTTCTCATCAACATGTATTTCTGTCTCATCAAGCAAGTTACAAGCTATACCTCCAAGTTTTTGATGGATGGACCTCAACAGTTGGTCAAGAGTCTACAAAGATCAGGTCATCTAGCTTCATTTCAGCGTGATCTGCAATGACTGGGCATGTTTATCTCACGCAAGGGGAGCAGTCTGAAGGCACCAACCCTTGTCAGTAAATGTGTGCATTTAACAGTGTCTGAATTGTAAGACCACTATATATGTAGACTGCACAGTCTACTGTACATCATTGGCTCTGTACATACTTTAGCTCATCAGCAGAGACTGATAAAGTTAGGCTCAGCTCAAAGCTTATTAGTAAAATTGTGTTGAAGTGTTAAATTAGAGTCTGTGTCTCTAGGCTACTAGTAGCATATCAACAAAGCACTCTTACTATCAACTCAGGGTCACAGGAGGCCGCTTTATTTTTAGCTCTTTCAAAATCAATCACAACAAACAGGGCTTCTGCAACGGGGAAACAGCATCTTATTACAACAGCGAAGAAATTAAAAGAGGTTCCTGTATATTTTCAATAAGATAGGGGCAGGCTTGCCTTTACTTTTCGATCTAATTGCTTTTTGTCATGCAATGTCACCTTTCTCCGATATTGGTGTTCACTTCTATACTATCACCTTGAGTGTTTCACAAATTTCTTACTTTACGTATTAGAAATGTTTAGTTACTTTTGTTGTATTATGAACTCCTTGAGACAATATTTTCTTCTTCAGAATATTCATGAAATTCGACCTAAAAACCTCTAGAGCAAAAGAGAGAAATACAAAGGTACAGCTTGTAACCATACTGGGGACAAATTTTTGAATATTCACGCAAACTTAAGCAGAACTTGGTCAGGTCCAGCTCACGAACAGCTGTCCGATCTCACTGCTGGGATTTTGTGAGTTACTGAAAAATTGTCGTGATTTAATTTCCCCTATCCAATTTCCTTCAGTGAGGTGAAATGTATTGCAGGCTTCATTTATCTCAACTGACCTAGGCTCTGCTAGGGAGGACTTCTGCCTATGTTTCCCCCTATCAAAGAAGCAAAGGAAATACATGGGAGCAGTGAGCCATTTAGCTCTTGTAAGCTTCAAAAATACTCTTGTAAACTGAAAAGAAGCTCAGGTAAAATAAATAAAAAAAATACTTCAATCACTGAGAAAATCGCGCTTAAATAATACCGAATCCCTAAAGAGATCCTGCGTACAGGAAAGTATTTTTACACTGCCCAAGTGTGATGATTAGTAGGTGGGAACAGATTGCCTACTTCAGGGATGCCAGTTAGAATTGATCAGAGGGTCTGGAAATCACCTAGAATGAGCTTTTTTGTACACAAAAAAGGCTAAACTAGGGTATGAAAATAACTCGCCAGGGCGTGAATTCAGGCTATTGCCTGAAAACTGGCATCCCTGCTACTTGCCCTATTAAGGCCACCACATCCATGCTGTACATATACCTTACATAATGGAATATGACAGGTTTGAGAAAGAAGTCACAATATTTGGAGATTAGAGACAAAATTTGAACAATGTAAATTCTTCCTGATTGAGGCATTGGAAGGTCACTAGTATAATACTATTGAGACTGCAGGAATGTGAAGCCTTCCTATTGGAGAATGGCCAATTCTGCCAACAATTGTAATGACTGCATACCAGTCGCTCATCTATACACTCTTTCATAGCCAACAGAGACTTGTCTCCTAATACTCCCCAAGGAGTGGAGATGGTGCACATTGTGCGTGAATTTATCAAATACCATTATTATTCATCAAAGGCACAAGATACCCTACAATTCGGATACTACTATTCTCCTGGCCATCCGGAACCTGAACTAGGAAGACTTTACACCTTTTTAATTTCTTTAAAGCCTATCTGCACTAGTTTGGCCAGGAGGGATTAGACCACCCAGAGTGTTCACTGACAGGTGGCTATCTCATCAACTCAGGTCACAATTAACATAAGAAAGAGAGGATCATGGGGGATCATGGGGGACCAATGGTCACCACTTAGGCATTGTTTGCTATATAGAGGGCGCAGGTAGCTGTAAGTAGTGCAGTGGGGCTTTAAACAAACCTACCTGTCTTTCTCAGCTAAGACTCCTCTATTGTCCATGTGTTGCTTCTGAGATGCCATCTTCTTGTTGTGGAGGTCATCCTCCAGGTTGTCCTTAGTAGAGGAAGCATTGTTGACCTGCTGCTGGAGACCCTGGTTTGTCCGCTCCAGCTCATCCAGTTCCTACAATGTATTCAGTCACATACAATGATAATCACATTAGCATTGAATGATGATGACAGTGGGCATCTATAATAGTGCCAAGATTGTCTTACCGTATTTGCCGGCGTAAAGGCTGCAGTATTTTCGGAACAAAAAATATCAAAGAATATGGATGCGGCCTATGCGCAACAACAGTCAAAATCTTCCAAGCCTAACATCCAGCATGCCAATATTTTTATTTTCGTTGAAGTTCCTATTACATTTGTATCTACTTTTTTTTACACAATACACTTGACTTGGTAAATATAGAAAGAAATCATATTCTGCATTCCATAGAAGCATTTACTGAAACTTATTTTCATCTCAATTAAAAACAGTGAAACCTCATTACAAAAAATAATATGTAGAAGTTTTTATAATGATGTCCAATGTACTAAATACCTCATGCGATGTTGTGATTTCTTCTTGTGAAAATATGACCAATCAATTAACAAAGCTCCATCCTAATTAGGCCTGTCGTATCAGCTCAAGTTTGCCAAATAAACAGCTAATTTCAGACTCGGGGTATTATCCAAAAGCTCAAAATTGCGTCTTCACCAGATTGATACGCTCATTACAAACTAGCTCGAACGGGCGCAAATTAGCCCACTGTTTCCTAAATAGTGGGATATTTTGGAAACAAGACCAAGATTTCTCAGGATATTTTCTCGATCAAATATCCAGCTAATTGTAACTGCCGACTGTTGAATAGCGGGCTATTGGCAAACTCGAGCTGATGGAAACAGGCTTATTGATGACCCACCTGTTGGATCCTGCGACATTTTCCTTCGAGCTGCTCCTTGAGCTGACTGAGAGCATCTTCCTTTTCTTCCTCCATCTTCTCTGCAATCACATCCTTCTCATGGGCTAGGCTCTCCACAGCATTACTACAGGAAAATAACAATACAAAAAATAATATGACATAGTAATGTATCTCTTCTCATTAACTGTCTATCAGCGCATAAATCATATACAGTCAAACCGGTCTATAAAGACCATCCAAGGGAAACAGAAAAAGTTGACAGGTGGCCTTTCTAGACAGGTGCTACAATACACATGTCTCTCTCAATATAGACAGGTGGTCTTTATAGAGAAGTAATCGTTATTTACAGGTTTGACTTTAGCCTGACTTAAATCTTGCTGCCCTGATATGGCACTGGGCATTCAAAAAAAATTGTTTATACTACAAGACAGATACAGATACAGAGAAAGAAAGACAAAAAGGGACCTAGAAGAAGAAAAAAGAGGACTGAAAACTGAAGCAAAGAGAAGCTTGGAAACAAAAAGAAAATCATGACCATAGGATATCTAGAGATAAAGACTTTGAGGTAAAGGAGAATAATGTGGATATATATTGAAACAAGAGAAAGAAATAGAGACGGGAATTACTACATCATATACACATGTAAATGTATGCCCAACATATAGTATACATTTGTACCAGCAGACTTATTTTTCCTGGCTAAAACCCTTTGTACTGCTAAAGAAATAGGTATATTTAAGAAGAATCTTTCTAACAACCTTTCAAACTGTAACTAGGGCTGGGCGGTCATTGCATGAAAGTAAAACTGAGTATAAATCGTGGATCGAGACATCCTTTCAAAGTACTAAGAAAAGTAATCAAATGTGTTTATTACTGCATGAAAGTAAACCAAATATAAATAAAGGGATCAAGACATTCTTTCAAGGTACTAAGAAAATTGATCAAATGAGTTTATTATTGCATAAAAGTAAACAAAATACAAGTAAAGGGATCGAGACATCCTTTCAAGGTACTAAGAAAATTCATCAAATGTGTTTATCATCTAATGCTTTTCTTCTCTCACTTCACACAATAGGATCTGAAACCGAGAAAGGCCAACATCCTGAATGGATGGTTTTAAATAACCTGGTAACGTCTTCCTTCTCAGAAGACAGGACTTTCCTTTGGGATCCATGGAATTTAACCATGAAGAGGCAACAAAAGAAAGTTTTCTGTAGTTTGCTATCTACATGTGTACACTGCACATACATTGTGCATGTATTCATACTGTTTATACATGTACATATGTGTGTGGCTAGATATTCAAATGATGATCCATATGCTTTTTGTTTCTTTGTGCATCTCTATGGTTGTTTAAACCACTGAAAATAATTTTCAAAAAACCTCAACATTCATCAATGTATAAAATAAAGGTTTGATGGTACAACAATTTAATCAACCAACACTTATCATTCAAGGATGCCATTTCAATTTCTACTTGTTGAAAACCTTGCACTTGGATACTATACCACATGGGAGAATCTAGTAACAATTCTTGATCCACTGCTCGAACTTCATTCCATCCCAAAACTATGTATGATAAAGCAAATATTTGGGGTTCATAGGGTGGCTGATAATATGTTCAAATCTAATATTCTTTGAACAGATTTAAAATAACATGAACTTGAGCATTCATGTATACTTCAGAAAGGTTTGTTTTGTTAATGCCAAGACAAGCTCATTACTTGGGTAATGCTCTTTGGAAGTTTAAAAAAAAAAAAGAAGCACATTATCCATTGCACATTGTACATTGCATCGAATAAGACACAAGCTCAAAACAAGTGCTTCAAATGTACTTCATACTAATTTACGTACATACAAGTATAAAGCCTCTAGAAGGTTTCTGGCAAGAAGCCATTTCTTTTCTCTTTCGACATTTCCGCTTTAAAACTTGGCTTCGTGGGAAAGGAGCTTGTTATAGTTCCTTCCCGTCTCATGTTCGTGAGGTTCTCCTTTTAATGCTCACCGCAAATACTCCCCATCATCCATCGCAAAGCATTGCTGTATAATAGTTTGCAGCTGGCTAAACTGCAATACCTGTACCTAGCCGAAACTCACGCACCTGAAGTCAATTCTTGCTACATGTACACTCTCTCTATTCTTAATATTTCTACTCAATCAGTCCCCTTTCAGAAGCTCCTGTATTTGCATCCTTTATGGCATTGAAACTTTAAAATAAGCCCCCCCCCCCCAGAAAATTAAACGTGGATGAATGCAATGCTACATGTATGCCTTTCTTTCTGTTTTTCCACTCTTTTTCTTAATTTTAGAGATGATATTGATGTGATAGCTCTCTGGTAACTCTGGAAACCTGTCTATAAAGACCACCCAAGGGAGACACGCAGGTGGTCTTTATGTACAGGTTCCTTTAGTACACGTTTCACTGAGAAGCCATTTTCAAGGGTCTTTGTAGACAGGTGGTCACTGAAGCAGGTTTGACTGTATTTCAATCCCTCATTCAGAATGTATTAAAAGAGAACACGAAACCAAAAGCATTGGATGGGGCGGATAAATCATAATGGATATGTAAAAAAAAAAAAAAAAAAAAGAGTAAAATCAATAAGGAAGGCCACACCTGGGAGGCTGAGGTTGACTTAAAGCTTCTCATATATCATCTCCAATATGAATAATCACAGTCACAAGGTACCCACAATGTACCATCACAGTACACAAACTAATTTAGTCATTAGAGTCTAATTATCAAGACATGAATATTATATTACACTGTTCAACCTTCAATGACCTCAAAACTTATAAAGATGCAGGTAGCCCAAAACACATAATAAATATATATGTTACTCCTGTTGCATTCTGTATTGTCATAAAACAATGGCGGAAAACATGTGGGAGATTCTATTCTACATTCTAGTTGAGTTTAAACAGTCCCAGAACAGTCTGGATTTTGAATGGGAAAAATACATTTTATATAATTTGGCATATAATTGATTGTTCTGTCATTTTAATATCTTACTTCTGTTCCTTTGTTTAAATAATGCAGATGCTTTTATGTGATCTCTTTTTGTTTTGTTTTTTGTTTCACTTGATTTCAAGTGGATTCTCCCTCAAGAGATTCTTAATAGCAGATCAGTTGAAGTATTTTAAAATATCTTTAATCTTTAAATGTATTTATATAATTAATTGTTCTGTCATTTTATCTTTCTTCTGCTTCTATGTTTACAATGCAGATGATTTTACAATCTGCGTGATCTCTTTTTTGTGTTGCTTTTTGTTTCACAAGTGCGCCTAGAGAATTTGATTTCAAGTGGATTCCGCACCTTACAAATCTCATACCGGTATATAAAATAATCATTAGTAGTAGTAAATACTTTTTAAAGTAAATATGTAGTCTGCTCAGAGCCAGAAGACATTGACTCTGTTCCGAGGTTATGAATTAATGCCCTTCAGGCTAGTCCAAACAGATGATATGTAGTCTGCAAATGAGTGGATGTGTTTCAAATCACTGGCTGATATCATGCATCTTAATTGAGGAACCGTGTCTACGTAACCATTTAATGATCTTGTTAATAGATCTAATTTTCGACAGCTTCAATGTTTTATGATTCATGTTGTCGTGTTTCCTTGTTCAGTGAGTCACTGGCAACAATTAAAAGAGAAAATTCAAGTAAAGTAGAGATCTTTCTTGAAAGGGAAACGTTTGAATATTTCAAAGAAAGTCACTCCACTGGCCAAATGATGTTTTTTTTTTCCACATTGAACATTACAAATTTGCTAAATGCGGTGTGTGAAAAAATTGTGATTTTTTTTTTTTTTTTTCTTCTTCCAAACAAGATACTTAAAGCCATATGTGAATGCAAAAAATTTCCATCAGTACTATTTCCCATGAATGTCCACAGCCCTTCCACATCATGACCTATTTTTCCCTGACTTACGATGCTTTGACTAGCAGTTGCTGCTTCTCAGTCAGTTCTTTCTTCAGGCTCTCGACTTCTACTTTCAGCTCAATGTTCTGTGGAAAGAATAACAATGTACACAAAAAATTATTTAAGTATATGAATGAAATTTTGCCCCAAAAACAAACAAAACAAATATCTTCAAGAGAAGCACATTTCTTCTAGAAATTATAATATTTATGCCAGAAAAGTTTTATTCAAATGAATGGATGACAAATCGCTTTAACTAAAATTTCATACATGAAAAACCTACTTTTTTTTTTCTTAGTACATTCATGTTTTTTAAAATCTTTGTACTTTCTGTTATTTTGCCAATTCTATTCATCAGATAGAAATTCACAGTTCTATCTTTTCATTTATCTTTGATATCTTGCGGACCCTAACTATATCAAATGATTTTGCACCAAGTCAGAGAGAAAGAGAGAGAGAGAGAGACAGACTCTAGAGACACACAGAGAGAAAGAGAGAGAGAGAATATTTTCATGATTTCCTTCCTTATATTGTTCTTATCTGGTCATCAATCTGTAAAATGTCACTAGAACAAACCAAGAGACCACAGGATTCTATGCCACCGAGAAAAACATTTTCAAACAATCCTCTAAATGTTGCGGTAAGTTCACACAAATGGCACATGGAAATGACATCATAGACACAGCTGTAAGCACAGGAAGTATAAAAGGATGGAAAGACAGAATATGGGATGGCCTAAATAATCAAAACAAGTCTTGAATTTTTTTTAAAGATGTGCATGATGAATGAAATTTCATTTGCACAGAAACATGTTTAGACCATGCCCTATCAAACTCTGTATGCTTTGTGCATAATATCATTCTTCATGAATATCTGTAATATGAAAACTTAGAGCAGTACAATACAATGCATACAATATTAGAGAACAGTTTATAAAAAAATAATTAAAGAGAGCATATAATAACAACAGCCCCCAGGAAATCTAAGAACACTAATTTGTTCTCATTGGTGTGTATACATATGCAATGTGTGAAGTACTAAATGCCATAATCTACATGTATATAAATTGCAGTATCAATATCAATTGTCATTCATACTTGCATATCTTTTGATAGAGACAGCAAGAGAGTCAGAGAGAGAAACAAGAAAAACAGCAGCCAATGTCTTTATGAAGTACTCCACAATGCATATCCAATCTAAGACAACGACATCCAGGTCTCAATTTATTTTGATAAGTACTCATGAAAGTGAAATAAGATAGATTTAAGCCACTTCAACTTACATTGTAATTTCCTTATAAAAACACTCTTTGTTCTTCCCCGTTTAATGACCTACGGTACTACAATGTGCCCGACTGGGAAATGACATACATGAAGCTTTGGTCCTACATGTACATTTGCTCTGTCAACACTTGCTACAAGCTGTATGTTATCAAAGTCGTAGGGTGAATCAGAGTTACGATTGGATTTAAGGTTAGGGGTACATCTCAAATTCTTGATACAGTTTTAGATCCAGGGCTGAAGTTAGAATTCAGTAATAACAATAATAACAATCTACAATGTAATAGCGCTTAAAACGAAAGACCGTCGCTAAGCGATTTACAGATATACATATAATTACCCTGGTCATCAGATTCTTTCATGCACAATGTGTGCCATTTCCACTCCCTGGGAAGTGTTCCTACCTCATGGTCACCATGAGGTTTACACTTTGACGTCACACTTTCAGGTCTCCATTTTCTCCAGGGTATGGGAGCACAAATGTAGACTAATGCCTTGCCTAAGGAAATTATTGCTGTGTCAGGGATCAAACCCACCACCTGTGCATTTTAAGTCAAGTGCTTATACCATACCACTCGACTACGATTGTTACGTTGTACGATCGACATGGCAACTGTCCTTCAGTGTCTTCAAGTTGCAAACTTAGTCTGAATTCTAAAGATTGTAGACAATCGTCAAACCATATACTTTTCCATGACATTGAGACTACACTTCCTACATGCATCTAACATTTCCTATAAAAATCAGTTTTCAATCCATTGTTGTTTCATCATTGTTCACACTGAATCACTGATATATGTTTGGTTCCAGTTTTTAAACTGCACTACAAACCTTTTTCAAACTTTATAGCAGAAAGCAGAAATTGTCGTTGTTCAAATGCACTAGATATAACACTTTTTAGACTTCTAAACTTTCTATGGCAGTAAAAATGTCACTATCCCATCAATTTGAAAGATGACTTTCTATAAAAAAAAAAAAATTAACAACTACACTGTGTGACTACATGTAACTTGTCACAGCTTGCCACTGATGTAAAGAGGTCATGAGAACAGGGCACATTTGTTGTGACATGTTTGTGAAATGCAATCTACTTGTTTACGCACAAATCTGTTGATTTGTGATGTAAGAAAATGCCACTGTTCCCCTTCTGTATAATCCAGAAGGAAAAGTCGTCATATTGCATTTCATTGACAGTTGGCACAAGATTTTTAGAACTCAATAACAAGCTAATGCACCGTATGTGTTCACACATTTTAAATATAGAGTTGACTTCTGGTCATGTGTGTTTACAATCATTACCTCGTGTTAGAAACTGTATCAAAGCAACTGGAAAAGGGGTATTACGTAGTGCATTTGAATTGATGTCTATTTAACTGCAAAGTTTTGAAATGATCTACAGACGTGTATCATGTAAATGAAAAGAATTTGACTCAATTCTGCTAAATCATGCACTGTGCAAAAAAAGGAGTACATGGGACAACACTTGTGTGGCATGAAAGTTGGATCTAAAGTTTTCACCTTGTTATTGTCATATTTCGAATATGAGGGCATTTGAAGGTTAATTTTTCTTCCAAGGATCATTTCTTCTATGGCATTCTCCAAACTGACAAAGGCTTTCTAATGATTTTTCATATTTACCCAAATCTTAACCTTCTTAGTAAATAGATCTTGCCACATTTCCTGGGGTAACCTAATTCCCGCTGGGTCATCACATGACTCACGATATCCAATTAGAACATCTTAAGTGAGTGCTCCTGACACTTACTGAGTGAATTAAGTTTCCAGGTTATCAGGTGAATCAGAATTATAGCTCAGATAATAGTTTGTAAAGTTTATGCTTAATGTGGGTATCCCAGGCATTTTAATATAATTTTTTAAATGAATCAATCAATGATTTGTTAAATTGAATTGTATATTGTAAATATTTCATTTTAAAGCGGTGAAAATTCATGTGAAATGAATAAAAATTTAATCTGTTAGCACTTGTCAGTTCCTAGGTCCCAATGAACCATGAGTCATTGTCGTTCTAATTCATTGTAAATGAATGCACATGTACAAGAACTTCAGAATGGGCTTCTTGAAAAGAAGACCTTAAGACCCCCCCCCCCCCCCCCCCACAATTTGTGAATATCTTCAAATATGCTAATGGTAGACATAAGGTACATAAATGTAAAGACCTACAGTTGTACACTTTTACATCGACTGACCAGAAATGCAGAGAGAGAGAGAGAGAGAAGGATATACAGGTGTAAACATCTTTTTAGTCATGCCCCTTAATACTTGACTTTTTCCCCTCTATATTTAGACCATATCTGCCTTTCGCAAAAACATTGTATGATCCCTCTTATTCATACTTCAGCTCATTTACATAACATGTAACATGTACACGTAATGTGTCTACAGGACTATCAAGTTCATGATCGGTTATGATTTATAGAGATCACATGATTTCTTGTTGATATAGTGAGCCATCCCTGCAGGAAGTTTCTTTAATGCTATCCAGTATTTCTTAAAATCTAAAGCTAGGTTTAAACTTTACGTCTGCGAAACCTCAAAGTTACCCACAACGATCCACTATCAATGACGATTACAACAAGTATTCCAAGTTGTAATGTGTCTATAGGACTATCAAGTTCATGTTCGGTTATGATTTATAGAGATCACATGATTTCTTGTTGATACAATGAACCATCCCTGCAGGAAGTTTCCTTAATACTATCCAGTATTTCCTTAAGTCTGAAGCCATGTTCATATGGGACCATCGTATTTCAAACTGTTAGTCAAAGTTACACACAACGATCCACTATCAACGATGATAACAACAAGTATTCCCAGTTCTAAACAACAAGCCAGGAAAACATCCAATTTAATTAAAAGCTGGCGTAACCTCAAACTTAATTGCATCCACACAGCACTTAATTTCAACAAAGGACCCCTGCCCCCTGCTTGTAGTTATCATGCTAACCTTTAGATAGCTTTAAGTAAACTTTAGTTTCGTAACTATGAGTGTGTCGAGTAAGGACCCCCTTTTGCTTGTAGTTATAGTCGCGTTAACCTTAAGTTTGAGTCAATTTAACCTAAATTTTGTAACTATGAGTGCATCCACATAGTCCCGAACTACAAGATACATGTAACTTCGAAATTTTAAAACTACAACCTAAACTTAAATTTAACAGATTGCTAAGTGAACCTATCTTAAGATTTGATAGAGATATGTTATCTCACAGACAGGATATCTTATCTCCTGTATATGATACTACAGGGTCAGTTTTCTTGATCAGATCTTCTGATTTTTTTTAAAGCTAATAAATACCATGGAAATGGAGAGGAGACCAGCAGACATAGAGCTACACTTATGGACATGTCAAGTGCCACTTAAATGGTCAAACTATAAGTTCTTTAGATTAAAAGTATTACTCTAACTGAAGAAAAGCGAAAAGTAAATGTACAGCCAAAGTGAGCCCGATAACAACATTTTTTTTCTATTTCATCACTGTATATTTTCGAGAGTAAATGCTTGAATTTGCTCTCCATTGCAGATAACAAATGTTGCCATGGATATAACCTCCTGCCTGGTAAAAGAGTGAGAGGCCAAGGCGAACATGTGGTATAATGTATGTCTTGCGAGCCCCCCTCCTAGTGAGGGCTTGTCCTTCAGACAACAGCAACATGTAAAAGGTAATTTTTTTTAAATATCAGCTAATGTATAGTAGATGTACAGTCGAAAATTAGGACATTGGGACCATGAAAATCACCTTTTTATAACAAATATCTTGTTATATCTGAGCTCTTCATAACAAGTTCTCCTGTATTGGACATATGAAATCACGCAACTAACATGGTACTCACTTTCAAAACAAGTTTTAAGAATTGGCCATATGGCCATCAACTTAAGTAGGAAAAATAAGTACATAAAACCACTAGAAGATATGCTGGCATTAGTTGTTGCAAGGTGTTTTTTTTATTTTTTATTTACTATTGACTTCTGTAGTAGTAGTCACATATCATGTTCAGTCAGTTAGTGGAACATCTGCTCAGTAAATGTACATCACTCGTTGTATGACAGTTACACTGTAGAAAGTGTTTTCACAGACAAATTGTACTGGATATCAAAGTGGTCCACACACACAAATGGTGACCTATCTTTAAGGGCTGCTGGACTCGCACATAAGTGGGTGGATTACTCTTTCATACTTTACAAACTATCAAAGACATTCTTGTCACAAATTTACAGGGGTCTATTTCAATCATGTGGGCCCCTTTTCTTTCCTTTTCTTTTTCTTTTTTAAGTGAAGGCAAATCAATCTTAGCTCATGCAGGGCTTGAATATTGTAAGTTTTAGGGGCAAGTCACTTCAGCTAATCAGAGGATCACAAAATCCAAGACCAATACTAGTACATTCGGGAAAAGGGTATGGATGCAGTGAGCAGTAGTTTTGTTAATTTGAGAGTGGCACTGCACCACTTAGTAGTATTACAGCAAAATGCCTAGTGGCCATTGGACAATTTGAGCTTCTTCCTGTCTATTTGTCTCTTTTTTAATATACTTTATTCATTTGTTTATTTTTAATTGTTACTATAGTAGCAGAGAACAATCAAGATCTCCTAATTTTCCAAGATTGCCACTCACTATTAGGACATAGAAAACTTTTTATTAATTTTTAAAATTTCATGAATGGTGCTATCTTTTTTTTAATGACAAGGGACTCTTTAATTTTCTTGATAATTTATCCATAGCAGCTGTCTTTTATATATTTTTTATGTATTTTTCCCTGTAAAGTGGAACAAAATCTACCAAAAACTGATGATTTTTTTCTTCTTTTTCTTTCTTCCAAGGATCTCGGTACTCACTGTTGTGATGTCATCATTGTCTTCAAACTTTTGTTGCATTCTCTCCTCCATGAAGTAGATGCGCAGCTTGAGGCTGAAGTTCTCCTTCTTCAGATCAGAGATTTGCTGCGGAGGAAAAGAATGAAGGGGTGGCAGGATGAGTGAGACAAAGGTGGTAAAGAAAGAACCCTGAAACATCGCACAAAGTGACATATCTTTTTCTTAGTGGTCTATTCCATTTGGAAGATTATACAGTGCGTCCCAGAAGAAACGAAACCGAGAATTATCAATGTTTTATCATAACTTCCTTTTTTATAGGACGCACTGTATATCATACTTACAGGTACAGTCAAACCTGCTTTAGTGACCACCTGTATAGAAAGACCAGCAGTCTACAAAGAACCACATTTTCTGGTTCTCTTGAAAAAGAGTTTCTCATCGAAACATGTACTAAAGGAACCTGTACTTAAAGACCACCTGCCTATAAAGACCACTTTTCTTGTTTCTCTTGAGTGGTCTTTATAGACAGGTTTCACTGTATATGAGAACTAAATGTACCCTTTCGAATACATATAGTAGGTAACTTTCTCAATTTGTCCTAAATATATATACAAGGGTACCTGTGGCTGAGGTAAGTGTGCATGCACAAACCCTTTTTAGTCAATGCGCGTAACAGTGTCTGCACTGTGAGACTAGACTGACAGCATACTGCATAGGCTGTGTACCTTAGCTGCTCTGGCCATAGCCAGAGACTGACAGAGACAGGCTCTGCTCAAGGCTTTAGGAATTGTGATACATTGTCAAATTAAAGTCCGTACCTGCAGACCAGGATGAGGTTGACAATACCACTTTTCTAAATTCATAATCTTATATTACACTGATGTTATTAACATTCATTATTTTGAATATGTATTTGAAAATTACTGGTATCGTTAAAAAAAAACTTTAAAAAGCCTAACTGCGATTAGATTTTTTCAAAACTGAAGGCATGAACAATTTATTTGGTAACCCATTAAGATGGTGAGTATCATTACATATTATGCAACAGTCATACCAACATGTGGAGTTTATCATATTATTTCACAATACCATACCAGGGTGATTAATTTACCAGCTGTGTTAATATTATCTTTACCTGCTCATACTCCTTCATGGTGTGGGCACGTACCGGCGACATCCTGCCACTTCCGCCCACCTTCTGGATCGCTATAACATACATACAAAGGTAAATAAACAGTTTTGTAGTGGTTACCATGGAGATTAAACAAACAATGATATATTGTATGTTGTTGTTGTTGTTGTTGTTGTTGTTGGGTTTATAAGGCTGTCCAATCTGAAAAGATTATATCCGCCTTATATGCATTTATTTCAATATGCTCTGTATCGATGAAAACTAGTCATTTTATGGTTGTTACCATGGAAATGAAGCAATGAAAACTGATATAATGTCTGTTTTAATGTTTATGTTACTACGTATGGGGATGTGGGCTAATTGGTCATAATGAGAGCCAGGAATAATCATACATGTATATTTAGTGTATAATTATCAAGGATAACCTTCAAATGTGGATGTAATGCTGCCACAGAGGAAGGATGCTTTTCAGAAATTTAGATATACCGGCATGTATAATTATATGTAAATACTAAATGGTATATGTTTTAAACCAGAGCTCAGAAACCAAAATATCACAGGATATTGAACTTGTTTTTCTTTTCTCAAGTCTTTTTTATCTTCAATATTTGATTTTAATTACTACAAAATATTGTTCTCCTCCATCTCAACATGTAGCTCTTCCACTTCTCTCTTCCTCCCAATCTCTTCCCATTTACTTGTCTTTTGCCTTCTCTTCCTCCCTCCTTTTATTAATTGAATTTTTGATAATTTTCGTTACTACTATCATTAATGTTGTTTTTGTTGTTCTTGTTTTACTTATTATCATTGTTGTTATTATAAGTAGTAGTATGAGTAGTAGTATTATCATTAATATTTTTATCATTATTGTTATTATTATTGTTATTAATTGTTATTATCATTATTATAATTACTGTTGTTGTTTTTTATATCATTTCATCATCATGATTATCATTACCATTACTACTATCATTTTTAACATTATTATTATTAATATATTACCATTATTATCATTCTTATCATTATTATTATTATTAATATAACTATTATCATATGAAGGATGAATAAAAGCAATATTACCTGGTGCAGAAGTGTCAGGAAAGTGGTCACTGAAGTTAGCTGCTGTGATGTCAGCCCCTGCAGTCACATTGGGAAGCTGGGAAAAATTGATGCTGTGAAGATCAAAAAACAAAACAAAGAAGCATCATTAACAACTAATTCCAAACAAACCCCCCCAAAAAAAACTAATAAATAAATGTTATTATTTATTAGCAAAGGGAGTGAAATAAAATCAAAATAAAATTTCAATTGTAAAATCTTGCGATTTATTTCAAAATATATGTCAAAATACAATTTGAATCAAATTAAATTAATCACCCAAACCAGTTTTAAATGACATAACAGCAGTTTATTCATCCCAAAAAATTGGCAATATATAAATATAGATATTTTTATTTTATTGGTCTCCAATCAAATTATACCGCACAGCTTAATTGTAATTATTGATAAATGTACATGTACCTTTCTAACATCAACATTTTGAAGAAAAGAAAAAAAATTAAAAAGAAATATCAGAGAAGAACAGTATTTACATACGGCTCAACGTACGTGTGTGATAAATTAAGGTACATACAGTATACGTGTATATGCAGTCAGAAAAGACAGAACTTGTCAAATTGATATAAGTTCTTGTACATAATAATATTTGTAAATGCACCTACACTGTATCCATCTTTAATATAGATGCACATCTCATTATATATATACAACACTGCCCTCCACTACACACTGTAGTGTATCTAGACACTACCCCAGGCCCAGGCTTCAGGCATTTACCAGGTATACACATGTACATCACGGGCATGAGAACAAAGGAAGCCTGTAAGAACTCCACAAAAACAATGTACACATCTAGGTCATGAACAAATGTGTGCATATTTAATCCATGCATAAACCCTCGTGAAAGCTCAATATTTGTCTACATGAAAATTCACAATACAATACTTTACCCTAGTCAGACAGATCAATGCCACTCACACCACGACTCACTAGTGAAACACCAGATTGCAAATCAAGTCATTTGGCGAAATCAATATTATCCTCCTAAACCATACACATCTCTCTCTCCCCCTCCTCTCCTCGGGTTCTATTGTGCCTACCAATCCAGCATCCCTCCTCCCCTCTCATACACAAGAGGATGATGACTTCTGTGTATACAATACAGCTGTGATGAGGGGTAAATCACATCACGTATCAGCAGCTGAATGATCATTAGAGCATGCGGAACACAGCTGTCCTACTTTCCACGCTGTCCGGTTGCTAATCAGACCACAGCCATCGCAGGCAGAAAATTTATGCCTGTTTGCAAGAAAAAGGTCAAGTTTCGCTTTCGGCAATCAAGTTCATCCCCAACTTTCCATCTGTAAATCTCTCTCACCAATCGGCCAATATTAGAGAATTTACGTGATGTGATTTTTATTTCATATTCTGCGGGGTCACTTCCAAAAATATGTTGTAGTTATATTTTGTCACTTCTTGCTCCCACTTGTTACAATGACATAATAATTCTGAAGACAAATTTATCAGGGCTTTTTATCTCTCTCACTAATCGGCCAATATTTATAGAGAATTTAGTATTAATGTAATGTGATTTACTTCATATTCTGCAGAGTCAATTCCAAAAATATATTGTTGTAATATTTTCTCACTTTTTGCTCGCACTTTTTATGACACAATACCATATGAAAACAAATATATCAGGGCTTATGTAAAAGGTGTTCGGCCATGAAGGGCTATCATTGTTGCTATTTTTTCATTTCTTATGATTAACCAGTAACATAATCAATCAACAATTCAACCACACAAAAAAGTATTATTGTTAAAGGTTAGAGCAAGAACACTTCCAACGTTGATCCCATAGACTTTAGGGGGATTGCAAATAATGGAATTTTACATTTTTTCATTAGGGGATTTTAAAATGTAAAATAAGCTTTAAAATCCTTAAATTGGCAAAACTTTGAGAGATTCAAAATTCATTGCTTTTTAAAAAAATTGCCAATTTAACCTTCTCAACAACATTCTCGTCCATGTACTGTATATTGTTTCCATAGATATTTGTATCAATTACAAAGAAATATTAATATTGCTGCCAATGAAAGTGATCAATTTAGCCTAAAAAATAAATCCTGTCCTGAAAGGATAAGACTACAAAAGATTAAATTGGCAACACTTTGAGAGATTCAAAATTCATTGCTTTTTAAAAAAATTGCCAATTTAACCTTCTCAACAACATTCTCATCCATGTACTGTATATTGTGTCCATAGATATTTGTATCAATTACAAAGAAATATTAATATTGCTGCCAATGAAAGTGATCAATTTAGCCTAAAAAATAAATCCTGTCCTGAAAAGGATAAGACTACAAAAGATTTCAACCATTAACCATGAACTTGAGACTGTTCAAAGTCCAACTGCATATCCAAGGAAACTGGTATATCTCTGTACATTCATGTGGAAGACATTAAAACTGGCAACCGCTGTGATTTTTTTCCCTATTGTAAAACAAACATCGGTTACTCCCAAGGTTTAAGTTTCACTCTCTAAAGCCTGGGAAAAATACTCTTCCTTGTACTTATTAAGCTGTTTGTATGCTGTCTGATCTACATGTTACAATTTACATCTGTGTGGACACCCTTTGAATTAAGAACAGAGGACAAAAAGATATGATAGGTCAACAGCCGAAAATGTGAGAGAGAAAAACAAAAAGGTTTTTTAATATCTTCTGCTCTTTTCCTCTTGAAACATTTTTCTAAAAATGAAATAATGTATCAAAATATCTACACTTGTACAAATGTACAATATGATGATAATGACGAAGATGATGATGATGATTATGATGATAATAATCGAAATGTAATTTTCAATTGCATATATACATGATATACATTGTTCAGCTTCATTCATTGTCTTGAAATCATATCATTGGTACATTGTGAATTGTGCATATCAATCCTGTCAGGAATCCACGTAATGAACCTAGGTCCAGAGAGACAACTGCAGATAGAATGCCTTGTTTAAAGGTAAAGACCAGTATTGGAAACGCCCCAATTTCAAAAAATGAAATGGAAGCTCTCATTACCCAATCATGTGAAAGAATATGTTTTGACTAATACATGATGATAAAAAAATTGCCGGGAAACTGCCTACTAATTCATATATTTGGTAAATTTGTTTCTCTCATGGTCTGTGAGAGATATAGGGTAGTCCCATATACATCTTTCTGTGTATAGTGCTTGTAACTTTACGAAGAATGGGCCAAATTTTTTATCATTTTGATGATTCCAGAACCTTGCAGATGCTAGATGCTAGATGATCAACCTTTTCTGATCGATTCCACAACGTTTCTTTCACAATGCAATCGCATGACCATAACTGGTCTTTACCTTTAAGGACATTAAACTACATTTAACAGTATGCAAAGATTCAAGTGCTTGGCCTTTCAACCAAAGGGAAAAGGCCAATAATTGTGATCTTTCACCTACATACACTGTATTGTGCAACATGATGGCAGGCTTAATTCATGGAAACATTTCATGCCACAGGAAGAAGGGATTGCTCAAGTGGCTTGAAGATGACGGAACTGGAGCAACCAGCACAAATCTCCACTTCCCGGTATCCTACAGATCGTACTTCCTACACACTCCAACACTAATCTATCCAATCATCCTCATTGGAAGTGATAGCTGATTTACTTCATGAAGTCCATATGAACTCATGTGTACTTAAAGGTACTGGTCACTTTATAAAAAAAAAATCAATGCTCCAATGGCATAAATCTCCACTTCCTTATATCTTATGGATCACTTCCTACTACAAGAACTAATCTACTCAATCACTGTTCATCAAAAGTGATGACTGACTGCTTTATGAAGTCTCCAACTTTCATGTACATGTACTCAGGCGTAGGGCCACGGTGCAATTAAAACCCCGAAAAGTCGTAAAAGCTTTTGAATTCGTAACGGCTATCTTAGCTTTATCTCAACTTTTAAAAAATAAGTGTTCCAATGGCATAAAGCTCCACTTCCTTATATTTTATGGATCACACTTTCAACTACAACAGTTAATCTACTCAATCAATGTTCATTGAAAGTGATGACTGACTGCTTTATGAAGTCTCCAACTTTCACCTATTTAAAGGTATATATGTCAACTTTCGAAAAATAAATGTTCCAATGACATAAAGGTGACAGACATACCTAAGCAATGGAAAGACATCTCTACTTCCTTGTGTCTTATAGATCAGACTTCCCATGTCACTCTAGTCTAACAGTAAACTTAATCTCCATGTACAGTATCTTATCAATATCATTGCTCATTGGAAGTGATAAACTGACTGCTATATATGAAGTCTCCAACTGTCACCTATTTAAAGGTACACATCATCTTTAGAAAAAGAAGTGTTCCAAAGGCAAACAGGTGAGAGAACTCTGCCAGCACAATAAATCTAAGATACCTTGTAAGGCTTGTATCTTATGGATCAAACTTCCTACACAATAATCAATCTAATCACTACTCATTGGAAGCGACACTTGATAGCTTTATAAATGCTCCAAGACTCCAACATTGTACATCTAAATGTAATCATCAGCTATAGGAAATAAAACGAAAGGGTTTCATACGAAAGGCAAACAGGATAGCTAAAGTGGCATAAATATGACACAACTAGAGCAACCAGCACAAATCTCTACATGATACATCCTGGTATCCAAACGAACGCCATTCTTGATCTACATACAGTATGTACTCAATCACTGCTTATTTCAAGTGACAGATGAGGTTATACACGTATACACTTACTTACTTATACTTCATGAGTCTCCTTCTCTTACATACAATGTATTGAAAGGTACTCTATAAAATTGAAATTGATATTTGAAAATCCAACTAAAATGTTATGAGAAGCATGTTACTTTAGACATATCACAGACATTTTCATTTTGTATTACCGTAATAGTATTCCTCAAAATAATCTTTGATTTTTTAGAGGTATTTGTACTGTATTTGTACTTTCACTGTACTGTATACAATTCTTATTTCACACAAAGAAAATCAACATTCCTTGAACATTGTAATTTCCACATTTTTCTCAAACTGGAATTATCATTTATACAA